CCCCCACTCCTCTCCCCGGAGCTCCTTGCCCCCTGCCTCTCCCCCTCCAGGCCTCATTGTTGCTTTCCTTCCTATAGGGCCTGAGCCTAGGGTCAGGTGCAAAGGTCATGGTTTCTTCCTTCCCTGGGCTTTGCTGCTTTCCCAGGATATGACCCTGGGGAGGGGGCTTTCCCGCTTTTTCAGCTCAGTGGCACCAATGGCACAAGCGCCCTGGCCTGCATCACGGTGAGGGAGAGGTTTGACCTGTCTGGGCTCTCCGTTAAGGACGTGGATCGTGAGAGCACAGTGCGAGAGTGGTGGGGATCCCTCCGCCATAACTGCACCGGCTCCAAAGACTGCTGGGGTTTGAGGGTGGCCCCCAGCTTCTCCTCTGATATTAATACCCCACCCCCGCCTGGGCTTCCCCTTTGCTTGGAGGTCCATCCACTGTGGGCAAGGTGGACCTGCCAGCGCCTGCAGCCTGGGCCCTCTGCGGGGCGGGGGGGGGGGCGGGGGGAGTCAGGCTCAGTTTCTCTCAGTCCGCTATCACCTGCTTTGGGAGGGCTTGTCCCCCGCAGCGCGCGACCTAAGAAGAATCCTTCCGCTGGGAAGGAATGAGCCTTAAAAGATCTGGTTGCTTCTCCCTCTTCTGTTCTCCTTGGGAGCGAGTGAGACGCGCAGAGAGAGGTCGACAGGCAGAAATGGAGACGGAAGATGGAGAGAGAGACAGAGAGAGAGATGGCTAGGAGGGAGGAGGGAGAGAGGGGCCCAGGCCGTCTGCAGCGCAGGCAAGCGAGCCCAGCGAAAGTAGGTGGCATAAGTCCGTGCATAATCTCAGGAGTCGACCACTTTAAATCTTAATTGGTTGCCTTTTAAATATCATTTAAGGGCTGGCTTCCCTGCGTCTCTCTCTAGTTAAGAAGGTGTCGTGTCAAACTCCATTACCTTTCTGGATGTCTCTCCCTTTAGTTTAAAAAATAAATAAATAAAGGAAAAAAGGAACGGAAAAGAAGAAAGAAAAAAAAATGGGATCATCAGTGGCGGTTGGAGGGTCGATAAAGCTTTTAGATTTGGAGACGTTTTCTGGGAGACCATTTCCTGCGGCTAAGAGCTGTTAATGGTGCTTAAGGAATTATCTTAGCCCCGCCGGCGGTAGAGCCGTATATTTCCCGCGCCTGTTCCCCTGTCGGGTCTGGATATGCCGCTGTCAGACTCGCTTAATGAAAAGTAACGCGCCGCTGATTACAGTTTTATTTGGGCTCTATGTAAAGAGCGCCGTTAATTTAGCATCCCCTCCTTGGTGTGTTTGAATTTGCCACGCCTGAGTGGCTGAGAGCATCGGTCCTCCGCGCTCCTCTCTGACAGCCTCCCTGGGAGGAAAGTGGGCCCTCACCCCACCGACAACGACCTTTCCCCCGCAGCGGCCACTCCTAAAATTCATTCCCGCCCCCCCCCCGCGTCCCTCGCCTTGGGGTTCCCCCGACCCCTGCTCTGAAGACCAGCCAGAGGTTGGGTAGGAGTTCCCACAGTGACCCTTCCAGAGTGAGCCCCAAAGGTCAGGGGTGTGGGTCGAAGTGACGGTCCCAGCTCTGGGGGCGTCCTTTTGGGCGAGTCGCCCCTGGGATGTGGCTGAATCCCTCCTCTGCACTTGATGTCTTTATTTCACACAGTTTTTCAGTTTAATCCAATAAAACCTTTCGGTCAGCCATTTCCACCAAGACTTGGGGGCTCCTACAGGGTGGGATTCTGCGGGGACGGGAGGGCCTCTGCGCCCTGGCGTCGCCAGGCGCCTGCGGTCCCGAGGGCAAAAGGCTAGGGCAGCAGGAGCCGTCTGGGCCGGGGAAGGGGGTATGGGGGCCTAAATCCGGGAAGGGCCCGCTCTGGAAGGATCTGGAGTCAGACGCAGCGTGGCCTGCAGCTCACGCCCAGCCGCGCGCCCTGCCACCCGGGACCCGCAGCCTGGGGTTCCTGGGGTTTCTGGCCCCGCAGTCCCTCTCCCGCCTAGCCAAGCCGCCTGCGTCCAAGCCTTGTTTTGCTCAAAATGCCTGGCTTTGTCTAGGGCCGGGGGGCGCAAGGCGGCAGTCCTCCGCGCATTAAAATTCCTGGCGTCCCAGCCTCGGCCGCAGCGTCTCCCCCGAGACTCCACTTTCGCTATTACTGTCAAGTACCCTTGACTCTTTATTTTTGCCCTTTTATCTATTACAACTAATTCGAGTTCTTTTGCCCTTTTCAGTCTAAGACGTGGGCTTTCTTCAAAGCCTCCCCCTGCCAGCGAGCTCTCGGAGCGCGGAGCCTTTAGAAATTGAGGGGTTTACTGTCAAAATGAAAATTTCACTTCAAATTATCTTGGTGATGCTTGCTCGCCAGGCCGGGGCCTCCCGCCGCAGCCTTTTGACAGACACATCAGCGGCGAGCTTCCGAATCCCGATAATATCATCCAAGAGAGCGAAAGTCAATACTGTGACAGCGCGCGGGCGGATACAATCCAATTACCGCGCGGCCGGCGGGGCGCAGGGTCCGCGCCCGCTCTCTCCGCTCGAGGACTGGGGTTCGAGGTCCCACCACTCAGAGTCGGGGCCGCCAAGGTCCGGCCATCAGGGGCCCACCGCTCAAGGGTGCCCCTCGCCGTTCCCCTGTCCCAGGTGGTAAAGTCACCCCAACTCCCGGCCCGTCGAGCCCGCTTTCCAGCGCTCCGGCAGCCCTGACCTTTCCCAGTGGACCGGGATCCACGGGGCCCCAGTCCAGTACCACCCAGCCCATCGCAAAAGAAAGCCCGGGCCTCCCATGTCCCTTGAAGGCTGCCCGCCGGCCCGCCAGGCGACTCCTGTCTTCAGCTGGCGTCTCTGCGGCTGTCAGTCTGTCCGCGTACGGACCAAAGGCCACCATCTCCTTGTCGCTGCGCTGCACCCTCGGGCCACTCCACACTTGCTGGCTCCTGCCTGGCGGCCCGTCCTTCCTCCGGGCACCTCGGCTTCTGTGAGGCCCAGTACAGCCTTAAGCAGAGGGCTTGCAGGCTAGCGGACAGCGCTGAGCCCAGTTCACGCTCGCCTGCCGCCCTCGAGGGGCGTTTGCGTGGGCTGGGGGGGCGGGGGCCGAAGCCTGTGGGGGTTGAGGAACTGCGCAGAATCCATCGTGGGGAGGAAGCCAGCGATTTTCCTCCAGATCAGAGCTTCTGGCTGCCAGCGAGCTGGGCTCTGCCGTGGTGGGGGAACCGGGTTTCTGGGCGAAGCCAGGGTTCCGCAGGACCCTACGGGAGGCCGGGGAGGCTCACGTCCTCCTGCACCACCCCTCGGCCCTTCCTTGCAGCCCCGCCTGGGGTCTTCGGCCTGCTAAGCACTTCCCTCTCCCTGAGCCGCACTCACTAACGGTGGAGGCTGAGAGCACCTTGGCAGGTTCCGCCCCTCCCCCCGCCGGAGGCGGAGTTAGGAGGCCGCAGCGTCAAGGAGGGCACCTCACTCCCGCCCAGGAGAGGCTGAGGGCAGTGACGGCCCCGCATCCCTTCCCCACCAGGGCACAGTTCCAGGGAACTTAGAAGTTTAGAGGTTTAAAGGTTATTAGTATCTAGCCAAAGAAATTTTTACTTTCTCAGAATTCTGGAGTCTGGCAATGGGAGAGAGTTGAAAAGTTTGGGGTCTCTCATCGCCTTCTATTCGGGAATTCAACAGAATCCTGTAAGTTTACTGTGACTATCTTTTTAAAACAATGGCTTTAAGTCTTGGGCTCTGCAAGCAACTCCAGTGAGGATTCTGGGTCAGCAGCCCTCCCCACTCCTGCCCTCGGGGATGGGCAGCTTTCCTCTTCCAAGTTTCCAAATCCCTAGGTTTCAAATGCGTTCATTTTGCAATGCAAACACCATCACTCGGTTTTATTGGTTTTGTTATATTAGCCTCTGAAGCAGGCAATTATTGGTGTGAACATACATTAAAAAACATAATTTTATCGAGTTAAGAGTGTGCAATAGTGTAAACTCGGTGGAAGTGTTGTTGGTGAAAAGTATGCGCTGAGGATGGAATCGGAAGGCCAGCAGGCTGAGGAGTCTTCACAAGGAACGGCGGCAAAGCCTCAACCCAAAGCAGACAGGTACACAGACAGGCCTCGGAACGGAAACGTCTTCTGTGTGTAAACTTTTGCACGTAAACTTTTTGCTTCGGGGTGTTTCCCTACTGCTCTGACAGCAGCCCTAACCTGCTCGGTCCCCGAGTTTGGCACGGCCGGGCGGACTCCTGTCCGGGCGCTCCGGGGGCTTTTCCGTGGCCCCGGGAGCCCGAGTTCAGATCCTCCCTCCAGGGTGGGTTGGCGACCTGAGCTTTGCCGAGCTCTTGCCTCACTTTGGAAACTCGGTAGAAAAAGAGTTGGAGCCTGCAGCCCGAGCGCCGGCTGCCTCCTCGCCCAGGCAGGCGGCCAGCTAGGCGCAGAAGGGCTTGCCGCCGGCCTTGGGCGTGGCCAGCAGCTCCTTGGCTGCGCCGGAGGCGGGGGCGTCTTGGGGCGCTGCGGGCGGGAAGGAGCGCGCCAGGGGCGTCGTCAGCACGTTGGCGCCCCCCCCCAGCGAGCGGCCCATCGGCCCCGGGTCCAGGAGGGTGCCCTTGGCGGTGGCCCAGGCCTGGTTCAAAGTGCTGTGTCTGAGGATGGGGTCGTGGAAGACCCCGTCCACCCAGTTTCTGAGACTGGTTACCGGGGAGTCCTGGTGCCTGTCCAGGGCGCCGGCGGGAGCCGGGGCCGCAGGCGAGGAGGAGGCGGGCGCCGAGGAGGGGGCCGCAGGGCCAGCGGGGTCATGGCGCTTGAGCATGCACGAGGGAAACTCAGTCTGGCCGAGGGCGGTGGCGGCGGCCGCGGTGGCCGTGTGTGCCAGGGACCAGATGCGCGGCTTGGCCTCGAGGCCCGCCGACGACCCCGCTGGAGCAAAGCCCAGCTTGGGCTCGCAGACCTGCGGGCCAAGCCCCGCGCCCGCCTGGTGCTCCGGCCGAGCCGCCGTGCTCCGGAGGCAGCTCTGGGCCCTCTCCAGGTCCTGGTTCAGAGTGGCCCCACCCCCGGCGGCCAGGGGCATCCGGAGGGCGCCCGGAGCCTCCTTCCCTGGGGCGCTGGGGCCGTCTGGCACGGTGGGGACTCGATCCAGGCCTCCATCCAGGGGTTGGAAGGGCGGCTTCAGCTCGCACTCTGGGGGCTCCCCCTCCAGGGGGTCGAAGTCCTCCAAGTCGCTGAGCTCCAGATCCTTCTCTTTGCCTATGGGCTCTGCCAGGAGATAAAGAGTGACCAGTGGAAGGAGATGGGGTGGCAGGTTAATGGAACCCCCTTCCTCACTCCAAGGACCTGGTTACGGGCCCACCTGGGAGCTAGGAAAAGCACCTGCGCCTTTATTCTACCTCCCATCTCCTCAGAGGCTCCCAAACGCCTACACGGACCTAGCTGATTTCAGCCTCATATCAAAGGCAGCAGGGGCTAGTGTTTCGAACGTGATTTTGGGTCTTTGAGCGAGCTCGCAGCTCACTGCCACAGGGCCCCTCGTGCACAGGGCCTCGCACACTCGGGGCCAGGGCATTAATTTGCCGCCTAGGCCCAGGAGTTTGCCCCGTTCCGAAAGGAACCGGCGAGAAGCCGCAGGGAGGCGACGCCCCCGCATCGCCAACCCCCCGCCCACGCACCTGCACCTTTGGTGCTCTTGACGGGCTGCGCCCTGGCTTCCGCCTCGCCCCCCTCTTCCTCCTCGCCGTCCGCGTAGGGCCGCTTCTCATCCGCACACTTGTTCCTCGGCGGCCACGTCATCTTGTTCTCCTTCTTGAGGCGCCGGCGCGCGTTGGCGAACCAGGTGGAGACCTGCGTGAGGGTCATCTTGGTGATGATGGCCAGCATGATCTTCTCGCCCTTGGTGGGGTAGGGGTTCTTGCGGTGCTCCTGCAGCCAGGCCTTGAGCGTGCTGGTGGTCTCGCGCGTGGCGTTCTTCCGCCGCGTGCCGCTGTCCATGGTCCCGTACCTGGAGACAGGCTGGGCAATGGGGCGCCGGCAGCGGCCCCTGCACCGCGGGCAGGCGGCCAGCGCCAGGCCCACACGGCTGCAGGCCCGGTCGTGGAGGTGTGTTTATGGTGGCAAGACCTGGGTTTTACCCAGGCAGGCACTGCCTTTTAATGTTTATATTTGATTAAACTTAGATGGAGCCAAAGAGGTCTCTGTGGGTGGGAGAGGAGCGCGGGCGCGAGGCCCGGCCAGGTCTCCGTCCGTCTACGTACACCTATGTCTCTTTGAGTTCCTTTATCAGGCCCCGGAAACCACACTGCAGCGAGGGCTTTGGGAGTCCGGAAAGACGGCGTGCGGGCGGGGAAGGGAGATGGGATGCCTTTATACCCTGGCGGCGCGGCTTGCTAGGAGGCCGGGATGGTCCTAACCCAAGGAATGCCCCTCCTTCTGCCGCCCAAGCGTTCAGTGGGGGCGTGGCGCTAGTAGGGGCGGGGCTTGGTGCTCCGTGGGGGTAGGGGCAGTGAGGAGGGGTGTGATCCCTCACCTGTCGTAGGGGTACTGGCCCAATGCCGGCTCGTAGGGGTAGTAGGCTGTGGCTGCAGCCGGAGCGAGGCCCGCATGCGCAGATCCCGGTGCGTCCTTGGAGTCGAAGCTGTTCTGTAGGAGTCGGTGAACCTGGGGTCGCAGCTTCCCGGATGCGAGCCAGCTCGAGGCCCTCCCCTAGGATCACTGGCTCCTGCCTGACTCCCACAGACCACTGGGCGGCCCCCCATCCTCCCCACCCCCATCCGCATCACCCATTCCCAGACTCTGCCCCGGGCCCAGGCGGCGAAGGAGCCCCAAGACGTGGAGTGAGGAGGAGCAGAGTTGGGGGGTGTTGGGGCAATAAAGGACAGGAGAAGGGGGATGGGGGGAGGATGGGGGAGGGAAGGGGGAT